GCGTTTCCTTTGTTGTGTCCTCCACCACGCTCCATTGTTGCTCGCGGAAAGATGCGAATTTTAATTTGACATTGTCTAATATTATTTATGTATGCGGCTAGAGAAACGCCGCGAAGAGACGCGCGCTCTCCGGGGAAAGATCGCTCTCGCGCGATCTCACATCGTGCCGTTTCTTCCATTCGATAGGAAACCGTAGGTGACTACGTCTATTCCGACGACTTAACTTCCGCATGGAACTGTTCTCCATGCAAAGTTATCCGAATTTGAATCTCGCCCATTGTTCTTTATTATGTAGCCAACCTCTCCCAACGAGAGGTTTGACAACGAATAAATTATTTAACCTTTATTTAACGCGTATTTATTTAACATTATCGATTTTAGCAACATACAGCAACATACAATTCAAAGCTTCTCCTCTCGCAATTTATTTTTTCTAAGAAAAATGATCTTGCCAATCCTCCTTCCCCGCAATAATATCTCTGACCTATTGCGTGAGTATTCTTGGTCGTCCTTCAATATGCTCAAAACCCCGTGGCAAATCGTCACGTCTCGTTCACCATAAGCGTAATCTAATTACGCGGCATACGCGAAGTGACCGTCGACGAGCGACGAGGCACCGCTAGACTTGCGCGTACGTGCTTGGTCCACCTAGAGAAATCAATATCACAGCCTGCAATCCAGGTTCGCGCTACGGACCGCTTTGCACGACGGCACGCGCAACAGTTGCGTGGAGACGAGACACGAAGAAGAGATACGAGTGACGGGTGCGTCATCGGTGCGTGTCGATAAGAATTCACTCGATAACAATTGCAAAGTGCGTGCGAAAATTTTACTCGAGCCGATCAATTTATATTCGGATCGGTTGGTTCTCAATTAAAAAAAAAAAAAACCATGTAACTTTGAATGCCGTCTGGCACATCCCGCGTTGCCATGGAAATTCGCGAATACGATCGCACCGGTCCCGAATTGAAGATACTCAGATAGAGAACGCGATGCCGCACAGACTTTGCCAGGATGACGGAAGAGAAACGACTGTCGTTGGGCATCAACGTTAGCATTCTGCTGATATTGACAATATTCGGCGTGCTTCTGTCTTTGCCTCTGCGATTGTTGTTCGACACGAATTATTCCGACCATAATCGCGGAGATGGTCTCGATGACCCGGAAGAGAGAGGAAGAGAAGCCGCGATACCGATGGATCATCGAAAATTAAAACGCTGTCCGAATCTGCAGTACGAGGACCGCTTGATGTCCGTCTTTATGAGTGATTACGATGAAAATTGCACGTACGTGCAAGACGACGACGAGTACGACGATGACGAGGATGACGACGATGATGACAGCGACTCTGAAGAGGACGAGGATAGCAGAGAGGATGAAGACGAGGAAGAAGAGAAGACGTACGGAGGGCCCAAGAGGAGCATCGGCGAAGAAATGAAAGAAAGCGCTGAAGAGATCTTGAAGACGCGTCAGATGAAGTCCGTCACGGTGGCAGGCCACATACTCGTGACGATGTTGCTCGTATCAGTAATAGCTGCCCTCGTTGAAGTACTTCGAATACGCTTCGCCAGAGAAAAAGTATTGCGCCATATATTATAAAAGTCCTTAAATTCTTGCGTTGAAACTTGGTATCTTTCAAGCGTAGAAAGTATCGGCATGTGTCACTTGAAAAATTTCTCTTGGGACATGTTCCGAGAGCTTTTGCTCTCATTTCTAGAAAACGTTTTTAACAATATAACTTCAACAACATTTCTCTATTTATTTAATTTACTCCTTCTAAGTAAAGTTCTTATTAATTTAATTCTACAATTCTGAAATGATACTTTGTTTCAACGCAAGCAATTAACTGCACTGTCCTTTATTGTTTGAACACATCACGCACGATTTGCACTCAAATATTGTCTGAGCTATAAGTTAAAATTCAGTTTGAGTTAGATTTTGTTATCTGCACCATTGAAAATTAATTGCGATATTCGGCAGAGACCGACGGGATAAGCGCTTCCGCTGTTTTCCTCGCGGAAACTAATAAAAACCGTCTCTCGATGCTCGGATAGAGCATTCGTGAAACTATTGCACCTTCTCTTTTCAAAAATGCATAAGGATTCGTCTAGGGCAGGCACGATTATTTCTCGGAGATGCTCCTCCAGCGTGGACATACCCGCCACAAGACGTCCCATTTCAAGAGAATTAATTAGAAGCCAAAAGTCTTTTGAGATACCAGGAATGCACCGTTCCGCATTGCGTTTGTTAGGTAATAAAAAAATTATATAATCTATCTATTTAAATATTTATCATAATTAAGGAGAAAAGACATAAACAAGAAAAGATATAAACGAGATACATAAAAAGCCGATAAATTTCTCTTAACAAAATTATTTCGTGAACTTTCTCGACGTAATTAAATGGATAGAGCTTGTTGTTTGTCCGCCTGTGCAGCGATATTCCGCAATGCATTTTAATCACACTTATGAAAAATCCTTACTGAGAAAGATTAATTAAGAATAATTCCTAAATTATACAAGATTATATATTTTGGCAAAAAGTAGAAGATATATGTAAATATTTTGTCACAACGCTTTTAATAATTAAGAAACTAAAAACGTATCATTGAAACAGAGTGGAATATCGCGATTACTACAAGGCTGTTTTAATTTGATTAGAAATAGAAGTAGAAGGAAAAATTTAATCATCAACCTACAGGAGCGAGGCCGCCCCCGCTTATCCGTCGCTTCTCGTTTCCAACGCCACAAGCGAAGCAAGCCGCTATTTCGTCTCTTTGTGGTACACCAAGTAAAGGGTTGACACGGCGCCAATCGGCTGAATCGGACGAAGAAATTGGAATGGTTACCAACGCCCTTCATCATCGCACCCGTCTAATCCGACGTCATTAAGGCGGCATAAAAATAGGTGGAAATCACATCAAGCTTTGTTAACCGCGTACCCGGATGATAGCCTAGATGATAGATCGAGTATTACATCCAACAAACATCCTCTCAGAGAAATAAATAAATGTCCTCTTTTCAGTAATAATATACCTGTCCATCAAATTCCACGTATTCGCGTCGATGACAACACTAACTGGATACGCGCCGTTAACTAAACGGTATGTTTTTTATATATATATATATATATATATATATATATATATATATATATATATATTTA